ATGCTCTTCTGTGAACTCTTCACTGTTCATGTTCTAACTTGCTACTGTTTCAAGGTAACAGCACCAAGAAACCATGGACTAAATCTTCTGAAACCATGAGTCAAAAAATATTTTCTCAATTTAAATTGTTTATTTCAGGTATTTTGTCAGAACAATAGAAAGCTGACTGGCACACTTTTCTTCCTCACTTCTCAGTTTTGGTTAATGGCCATGATGCCTCCTTTTCCTTTACCCTCTAAACTTCATCCCATTGAAACTTTCAGTTTTCTTTTTTTTTTTTTCTTTTCCTTTTTCTTCTCAATATCAGGTACTGAACCATTTCATTTTTTACACCATCCCCAGGTGTAATCACTTCTTATTATGCATCCCAAAAGAACTTTTTACTCATCCTGTCACACAGAGTTTACCCAGTAATTACTTAGCTTGCATGGCTGTGGCCTTCATTAAACTTTAAACAACATAAGAGCAGAGGTGTTTATATCTGGACTTTTCCTGTTCAACATATGATTTTCTTGTGAGCCCTATCTCTCCCCTACCTGTTGGGTTGCCAATGATAATGTTCTACTTCCTTTTTTATTGCAGTGGAAACATGTAAGACCTCAACTGGTCTACTTCCGTTCCCTGTAGCCATAGTCAATTACCATAGTCAGTTAACCAATATTTTAGGAATTAACACGTGACTTAAAGCAAGCAAATCAGAACTATCTATGTTCCTTTAAATGGAGTTAGAAGGCCTAGGAACCATGTAAACCTTCCCTGCAAGTGCCTGTCTCCATTTCCTCATTGATACAGCTATGTAGGAAAAGCCATTGTGAGGAGAGTCAGGACTGAGCTGAGCAGCTGTGACTGGTATCCTACCACTAGACATTTTGGTTAAGGTGATGAATTTTCATTTTTGTTAGAAACACTTTTAGTTGGGATTTAGTTACTTGAAATTAAAAAAGCCCTCACTTAAGGTAGCAGGCATTGTCTTAATTCTTAACAAAGTTATTTTGTTGGCTGTAGAGTTTTAAACAATATTTTAAAATGGATGTAGAAAATTTTTAAGCCTCTTTGCCTCTTACTGTATTAAAGAAGGATGGATGTTTAGCAACAATGGTGGTTTCTGATTCCATTTTCTTTTGTCCACGCAGCAAACTCCATGACACAGGGAAAGGCAGAGAAAAGAACATGGTTTTCAAAGGTTTTAGCATCATTTACAGGGCTACAGTGTGAGAAGCCAAAGTAGCATACTTGACTCTCTTTCCCCTCAGTCTAAAAACTGACTGTTTTATTCCTTCTTTAGACTTCTAATTTTCCTCTTTTCTGTCCAATCTCTTCTACAAGATAGAGAGATAGGAAATTTTCTCCTTTCAGGAAAAAGTTATCCAAAGTCTGAGTTTCCTATGTTCATAGTTTTTTAGCACTTTGCTCACACTCTGCCCTCTTGCCACTAGATCCATCTTGCATCCCATGGTAGAAATATACTCTGATGTCTTCCACATTCTTCCAGAATCTGTTCAGATGCTTGCAAATGTCCTACCCAAAGTGGGCACACAAATTCCCATAATGTCACCCACTAAATGCATTCTTAGGAGTGATGTATATATATGAGAAAATAGTTTTTATATATATGTATATGTGTCTCATATATATATATATATATATCTCATATATATGTTATATATATATAACATATATATATATATATATATATATATATATATATATATATATCTCAGGGCTACTCTCTAATACTTCCATTTTCTTATGTGTCACAAAAGAAATAAATACTATTATAAGTACTTTAACGTGTCTTCCATATGGCCTCCTGAGTGGAAGGCTTCATTGGGCACTTGGCTCCTGGGGCCACCCCAACTCCATAGGATAAAAGGGGGTAGATATGAGAATGGGAGCATTCTCATGAGTGCAGACAAGGTGGGGAGAATAAGATAAAGCAGCATGGGGATGGGGATATAACAGAAGAGAGAGGAAAAGGAAAAAAGACAGCTAGATTTTCAAAAGAGCAGTGTGTGAATTAGATTTTAATTAGCCTTCCTGTATGTTTCATGATATAATTCCCCCATCACCATCATCTCAAGAGATTGTCAGTGTTTCTAAAGGCTCCTGGCAATTAGATTTTGTTTCCTTCAGATGTATCACAGTGCTGAGACAGAGATTGACCTTAAGGCAACTCAATTTTATTTGGGTTACAGTTTAAACAATCAGGTTACAAAGGTCTACAGGGCGAATGTCCAGTTTCTCTCCAGGGAAGCCAAATTGTGTTTGAGATGAATATAATTTGTACAGTTTTCTCACGATACACTTTCAGAAGTTATCTTTATCTTTTAATTTAAGAATTTAGGGGAGAAAAGAAGTCAGGACTAGATCCAGGGTACCTGTGTTCAGGTCTTCACTCTTCCACTTAGTAACACTAAAAGGGTGAGGGAAGTGTTTAAATTCTGTGTGCCTCAATTTTTCTACCAGTGAAATGGAAAAATTGTGTATGCCCAAAGGATTGCTCTGGGAATAAAATGAGCTAACATACACGGAGTGTAGAACACATCTTGACACATAGTAAGAATGCCATAAAGGTTAGCTATTCTATTGCACTTTAGTTATCTTCCAAAATAGGTAACTCAGTTGTAAGCATGTAAAAGGCACTGAAAATCACTGTATGCATGCACGCATACATGGCTATACAGGTCTGCATGTGTATATATACAAAAATATATGTTTCCACACTCAGATAGGTAGATTATATATATGTTGCATTTTAATAATTGTTCCATTAAATTATTATTTCCAATGTGTACTTATTAATTCATACAATGGGTATTTATAGAGCACTTACCATGATCCCAGCTACAATGCAAGACTCTAAGTACTTGCATAGCAAGTGTAGTTGCTGAAGTCAGCACCATCTCAGAGCTTAGAAAATACTCATGGTGCTAGCAGAAACACAAAGAAAGATTTAAGGGGAAGGTGGGGTGAGATTTTCCCAGACTCCTATATGTTTTACAGGCACAATTTTGAATACAGTAGGTCAATCCACTAGTCCTTTATTCTCTCTGCTTTCCCACCTGTGCAATGGAAATGATCACAGCAGTTTCATAAAGGGATTGGGAGGATTTGTGCACTAAATATGAACTCTTGCTGACTCAAGGATCATCCTCTACATTGCCTAAAACAACCTTGATTTTAAGGCACAGGGAGAGCGATGGGACACATTTTCTACATGCCTTGAATAGGTGTTACAGCCATCACGTTCTGTTTTCTATTAGCACGCCTTCCTGAGTGCACTTGGAATGCCCTCGCCTTTTCTGTAGTTGAGATGGGCTCTTCCAGGGAGTTGGAAGCTACAATGCAAACTCAAGAGTGAGGATAGGGAAACAGAGATGAGTATTCTGCAAACTATTGAAGTGCTTCAGGCCAACCACTTTAATAATGTATACATGGAGGAAACCCAATCAGATAGTCCTCTGGCACACAGGCCTTCTGTTTACTACTGTCCTGTCTCCTAGAGTGTTTGTGAAAATGTATGAGTGTCTTATATACTCAGAAGTATTGCTTTTGCATGGTTAGATCTAGGATAACTCCTGGTTCTGATTCATTCAGCATCAGGCTCATTTCTATGATAGGGTCAGCAGAGGGGAAGAAATAAGAAGTATCTATAAGTCTTGACTGTAGCAGCTTTCTGGAAAGTTTGCATGCAGGGGAGTGCAACCAATACTGCCTTTGCAATTTCACAACTGTAATAGGTATGTTGTATGGGAAAGCAGGGCAGGAGCTTTTTTTTATTCTTTTCTTTTCTTTTGAGTGGTACTGACAGTGAAATAAACCTTTGGTCTGTCTTGCTTTCAATCAATCCCTTTACTGTTGGCATTCATCTTCCTAAAATGAAAATTGTATCTGTGTCATTGTCTAACACACAATCCTTCAATGTATCCCTTTTGCTTTTGAAATTAGAATCACTTCATGTGACTTTACATGGCCTCCTCTTTCAATGTCATTTTTTGACATGTCCCTTCTCACATTCTATTATCCATCCAACCAGTACGACTTGGAAATCAATTGAGAAAGTTTCCATGATTGAAAGTTTTGCAACTTATAGACCAGACTTTCTTAGGTGGAATATAGGATCTTGTGTTAGTTACTTTCTCATTGCTAGGAAAAAATACCCAGGACTCACAAGTTAAAGGAAGAAAGAAGCATTTTCAGCTCAGAGAATATAGATGTTTCAGTTCATAGTCAGCTGTCTCTAAGGCAGAGTAGCGTGGCAGAGGAGAAGCAGTTCATGGTAGGGCAGGCAAGAAGCAGCAAATCAGCAACATGCCTCCTTTTATTCCATTTAGACTAATGGGTGGTGCCACTCGTACCTATGTGGGCCTTCCCATTATCTACAACCAGAATTGTGTTAATCAAATCAGTGAACCAATGTAGTTATACATTCTTATTCCATATTCACACACCCATGGTCCAGCCATCTCCCAAAGCCCCACTTATGAGCATGTGAGGTTTTGGAGGAAAATCTAGATACAAGCCATAACAGATCTCACTAGTTGTGTAACCTCAGACAGTTACTGGTTCTATGTGCTTCTGGTCCTCATGGGTAAAGTGGAGAAAATAATACCATCATAGGGGTACTGTGGGAAGTAAATGAATTAGTACAAATAATGTGAATAGAGTCTTGTCCAGCACATAGCGAGCATCACAGAAGATGAGATAGCATTGATATTGTTCACATTTATCTAAATAGGACCTTCTCTCTGACACCACTATACCTTTGTGTATGTAATTTTAGAAGACATAACTCATTTGTCCACCTCCATGCCTAAAGGCTGACATTCAACATGTTTTCCAAGTGTGTACTCCTTTATCTCTTTATTTATGTATCCCATTATATGGCATATATGTATCCCACAGCACATTGTCTTAGCTTTTCAAAAGCACATTTTTATTGCTCTATGAGATTGTGACTTTTTCAAAAACAATGATTACCTTTCCTTTTGTGTCTCTAGGTTCTAGAAGTTTGGATGTGAAATGGGTGTCAAAAACTGATTGATCTACAAAAATCCTATATACAAATGATCACTGAAGAATTATTGGCAAGAGCCAAAAAGCACAAACAACCCAAATGCCCAGCAAGAATGAAATGGATAAAAAGTAGGCATATCCATAAAAAGAAATATTACTTAGCCACAAACGAAATAAAATGTTCATACCTGCTAATAACATGGATAATCCTTGCAGGCAATATGCTAATGAAAAGAGGCGAGTCAAAAGACCACATATTGGGGCTGGGGATTTAGCTCAGAGGCATAAGTGCCTGCCTTGCAAGCAGGCAGTCGTGAGTTCGATCCCTGGTACGGATAAAAAAAAGAAAGAAAAGACCGCATATTATAATATTCCATTCTATGAAATGGCAAGAATAAACAAATCTGGAGAGATAGAAAGTGGATTGGTGGTTGCTCTGAGCTGAAGAAGAGAACAGGGTGAAGAGCAGTGTAGGTAAATGATATGGGTTTCTCTTACTTTTTCTCCTTCTTATGTAATCAGCCCCTCAGGAGAGTTTGTATGAGATCGTGTAGGGGTTTGGTACTTCTTTAGGAAACTGGAACACAAGCCTCCAAAATGAATCTGGAAATATCCTTTCATGGGAACACTTTGCTTCACAGGTAAATAAATGAAAGGTCAGAAGGACCAAGGATTTTTTTTCTAATTTCACATATTGAATTGGTGCCAGAACAGAAGTTAAAATTCTGGTCTTTCATCTACTTGTTCAGGGAAATTCCCCCTGCTCACCTGTCTTCCTTATTTCTCACCTATCTAGTTTTTGGTCAGGATGATCTTGATGTCAAAACAGGTGGAACTGAGAAGGATCCCAAACCTGGCCAACTAATTTCTGTTCGTTCTTTTCTAAGCCAGATACAGGTAGCATTCTATCATATTGCATTCCAAGAAGTACCTACATTTGCTTTGTTTTGACCTTAGTTTTATTAATACAGACCACATGATGGAGTAGAGGGAAAACAGGACAGCAAATTCAGAGATCCAGAAACTGGCTTCCACTCTGTCACTATATAACTGTGTGACCTGGGCCTCAAGTCCCTGTTGTAAAATTAGAGTTGAATTGGAGTATTGTTACTTTCTCTCATCTCTTTCTATGGTTTCATAATTTGATAACTTGAGGTTGAAGTAAAGAGACTATCAGCTAATACTTAGGACTCCTTTCAATGTAGAAAATTCTTCCAGAGATAATTGTAGTGAATGATTCAGACTAGTAGGAGCAGTTCTTCAGCAGCATATGAACACAGAAATAATTGAAGAAGCATTTTTGCCTAATCTAAGTATTATTTATGGTATTTCAGGACCTTACCACTATGATAATAAGGGAATTAGAGCCAAGATCTGAAATGGAGGCAAGAGATATATGCTAGGCACCTTCATTTGTTACTGCAGCTCCAGCAACCTTATATGTTAAGGCGCACTCACATACTGTTATGTGTGTGAAAAGCAAGGATTGAAAGGCAACTAACTTGGCCAGAGACATATTGAATTATGGGTGGCCCATGAATGTGGTATCAGACCTGTTTGTTTATCTTGAGCTCTCTTTTCTCTCCTTCCCAAGCAGCAGCTTTTCAAATAATAGGTCCTGGATTGTAAAGACCTCTATTTTGGAGCATGGATCCTTACCACTCTCATCATTGCTAATGCTTCAGTGCTTCTGATAAGATCCTTAATCGATTCAGTATGTTTGTTGGTCCCACATAATTTCTAATTTGAGATAACCTTTGTGTGGCATTGATTGACCTGGTTTGGCTAAGCAGACCCTGTGGTTTAAATGGGAGTCAGAAGAAACCTACCAGATCTAATCTTGAATTAATGTCTGGAATCTTTGCCACTTGGGACTATTGGGCTGACTGCAACTGCAGACCTAATATGAGACTAGATAGTGGGAGATCAGTAATAAGAAATCTTTTCTGAGGGTATTGTCTAAAATTGAAAATTCTTCCTGACGGTGTCAAAAAATAAATCACAATCCACATAATTTGGGTAGTGTTTGTCATTTTATGGCTTAATCTACAACCTACTGAGAACCTTTAGGAGTTGAAAGGCTCTTGAAATATTTTGTACTTGTATATTTGTTTGTGTTAGAAGAAAACTCATAGTTTTCATCAGACTCTTAAAGGTATCCCTCACCCAAGAAAGGTAAAATTCTCCCTTACTGCTTTCACAAAGCCTTCTGTGTCCCTTAGCTCGTAGGGCCACTCCTCTTGCAGAATATGTGGTTTCTTTCCCCTCTGGGAAGGTAAACCTGGGCCCACATAGGCTGAGGCCCTTCCGAAAGTCAGGCAAATATGCACTCCATTCCCTATCGCCCCACTTCTTTGTATGTCTGTAGTCATGTTGCTTCACTCGAGGTTCATTGTCCACAGGTAAACGTGGGGATAGTCTCCATGGCTATTCAAATATTGAGACTTTTGGGCCTACTTATACATTGTTGCCTCCTTATCCTCCTGTGCTACCCTGACTCCTCCCAGGACCTTCTTTTAGTCCACTAACTAGAAGTTTCTTGTATTTCAAGTCATATTCATAGTACAAAAGAACATTACTAGTGGGTTAAACAAGTGTTTATTTTTGTAAGATCTAAAATAGTTCTTTTATCATTGATATGTGGATTTAATTATACACTTTACAGTGCACACTTTGGTGACTGGCCTGTGTCTCTTTAGTGTTCACAATCCTGTACATCCAACAATATCCTACTACATGTGCCAGAGCTTGTCTACCTGAACAATTTTTCTTAGTCCCTACTCTTGGGGCAGATTGGAAAGGCTGGCAGCCAATATTGGATGGGAATTAATCATGAGTACTCTAGCTTCATTCCTATCAGGTAGGACAGTATTTCTCTCCAACTCTTAGAAATCCCCAAAAGGAGCTGAGCCTCAGTTTCCTATTGTGATAATGAACGAGCCCTGTATTGTCTTCTTTCCCCTCCTTGCCTTACTTCTCCTCTTCTGCATCAGTGGACTAGTGCTTCTTGAGATCACCTCTCAAATAAACTACTTGCCCCGTTATCCTTGTCTCAAGATTGACTTCTGGGAGAACCTAGCCAAACACATTTAAAAATAAATATTTATGCATATGTTAATGCATACATAACATTTTATAAATGTTGAGAGAAGAAAATTTTTCATATACAACCTTCTTCCTAACATCAATAAAAAGGCAAATTGAGAACTGTGAGAGTTAATATTCCACAGTGGGCTGTCAGCAGTTTCAAAGCCCAAAGATGTCTGATAAAACATGTAATTTATTCAACCTCATTTCCTATGATCCTCCAATATTTACTTAACTGTATTAATGCTGCAGGACTCATCTGCCTTCATTGGATACCCTCTCCTTAAATTCTTTTTAAAATTAAGTAACAAAACTTCTAACAGAAACCTCTGCTCTGAAATGTATATCATCCTACATTGTCCTATGTTGTGAAAGGCACATGTGGAGAAAGTAAGGTCCCACATGCCCTATAGCCTGACATGGATTTTCCTTACCACCATCCTCAGCACACTGCCTAACCTTTAGGAACTCTTCCTAGCTGTCTCTTAGCATCTGTCTACTGGCCAGAAAAGAAACATGACTTCATAATTTTCAGCCATGCCTCAAATTCCATACTATTTCTGGTTGCAGGATACTTTCCAAAATTTGATCATAGTCCTCAGAACCAGCTCACTTCTCCTGAGATAATCCATCTCTAGCTTTTTATGGTTAATGGGGCTGCTACAACTGTATTAGAGTTAGCATCATACAGGTGTTTTCCAGAAAAGTCATCAGTTTTAATGCAGAACTGTAAGAAAGGGAGTTGTGGATTGAATAAGATTTGGAATTCCGTTCCTCATTCTTTTTACTCTAAACAGATCTATGAAAGGTTAATCCATGTATCCTGCATTGCTCCAAACCAATCTGAACAAAAGTCTTGCTTGTAGGATTAATAGTGGCAAGAATTTCTATAATTCTTCTTTGGAGTGTGTGCTTGTGTGTTCAGTGGAGGGATTATTGAGAAGAGAATACTGGCAGGAAAGCGCTACAATAAAACTTTGCTCCTGTTTATCACTGACATATTCATCAGGACTTATGACAGCTATTGCCATGTTGCCACATAACAAATTACCTCAAAACTCATTGTCTTAAAATGATCACTTATATCTTGCTTGAGTATATGTGGATTGGGTAGAGGTTAACTGATCTAGGCCGAGTTCCACTGTGTTTGGTTCCAGGTTTTGGGTTAAATCAGAGTCTGTTTTTCTGGTTTCTTCTCCTGTTTCAATCTATAGCATATACATGGTATGTTCTCTACACACCAATAAATACATAAGTAGTCAAGCTCATTTCAAGCTTATGCTTATGTCACATTGTTAATCTCATTGGTCCAAGTATATGACAGAGCCTTGCCCAGTATTGAGAAGCAAGAAAGTTCTTTGCTTTCAATAAGATCAAGGCATGATTACAAATGTAATTGTAAGATAATAAAGAAGTGAAAATTAGGGGCCCACAATTTGGTCCACCAAATCTCCTCATCTGATCATCCTTATAAGATCCTTAAAGATCCTTATAATGGTACTATCACAGTATCTTAGTGTAATGTGATCATATCTTTGAATAAGCTACTAAATTGAAAGGCCAGCACGAAAATTCCTTCATTTTTGATCCTAAGGACAAAGGAAAGAAATTAGTACATTGGACCAAAGCAGTCCAATATGAACACATAGATGCTAGATAAATAGGAACTTTAATAGAGAATAAAATTACCTTGAGATAACCTGAAGAAAGTCTTACAAAATGTGCCTTTTATCTACCCATTAGATATTTTACCTTAATACACTATGCATGAAGTACCTACAAGTTTCATTTGAATCTCCTTACATTCACAGTAAGATGCAATTTCAAATCATCTATCAACTAATCTTTCTTTTAAACATGAGATATTTGAATGGCAACATAAAAGAGTAATCATTAATGTTGACTTTCCCAATCTAATCTCATTGTTCAATTTGGCCCCCAATTCTCTTTTTATTCCCCTTTGGTAAGAACCATCATTCTTCACTCCTTAATAGTCAAAATTCTATAGTTTATTCTTTCCCTTTTTAAACAACTCTTTTATCATGTCAAAATTGTTTCTAAACCATACATCAGTATATCTTTCTCAGTACACTTTGGTGCATAGTTCAATTGTTACATATAATTCATTGACTTTAATCTCTATTGGCTTGCATAATACATGTGCTCTTAACACTGTAATGGCTACATTATGTGCCAGGGCCTGAGCCACATCATATGTGTTATCTCATTTTGTGATGAGCAGGCTGGGGAAGG